AAAAGTAAAAGTACAGATGTTCTGTGACACTAAGAACAATGCGCTTTAAAAAACTTGTTTAAGCCTTAGGAAACTCCTTTGAATCTAATACCTCTATGTTCACCTCTGTTTCCACCTCTGCAATATCTGGCTCCTCATAAAACTTGGAAGGATATCAGTAAGTTTATACTAATAAGGTACGTTGCAGTAACTTTCTAACAATAAGGTGGGAAAAAATAGTTGAAGTAAGTGTGGCTCAAGGATGAATTTCTTGAAGCAGTTCTTGAAATTGTATTATCACTTGCCTGCATAGTAGCCTGCTTGCTTCCAATACTTTTGATTTTGGATAGTTGAGAATGTGACATGTAGACTTGTCTGGATTCTTCTGAAAGCTTGCCTAAAATATTACAAAAGATCTAATTCTTAGTTGTAGAAGTCTCACTCCACAAGACAGTTAAAACATCAATCTTGTGTTTGGCCAGATGACTTGGGTTTTAGGTTGGCCATTAGAGGAAGACAAAATATTCTGTGGAATAAGTAATTATCTTAATATGAGCATTAAAAGCAAAAGCTCAGAAATCCTCTTCTTTGCTTCTGGCAAATTATTAATTGACATTGTTCTACTTCAGGTAGGTTTACATCTGCCATATTTTTACATGTGGAAGATGAAAAGCTGATTTGACATATGTTCTGTGTTCTTAATGATCTGTTCTTACTTGTAGGGGATTTTTGACATCCTGTGAAGCAGAACTACAGGAGCTCATGAAACAGATTGACATAATGGTGGCTCATAAAAAATCCGAATGGGAAGGGCAGACACATGCTCTAGAATCTTGCTTGGACAACCGTGAACGAGAACTTAAGACTCTCAGGAGTCAGTTGGATGTGAAACAGCAAGAGGTAAAGCAATCAATTCATTCTTCATTTTGATATATTGAGCTCGTCTTTTATATTAAACATGTTTCTTAAATATTTCATTTGTTGAAGAAATTTGTGTACCAAGTTTCTTTATTGTTTTTTATAAAATTCTGATGGTTTCTTTCAGAAGAAAAATTCATTGTGAAAATATATATGAATAGTAATATGTATTTCAAGGATCATTTTACCTTAGTTACATGTAATGCGACCTTACTTTGAAATGTTTGTGGAAAAATGGCAATAAAAGATAATACAGGAGCAGTTAGCTCAGTTGGTTAGAGTGTGGTGTTGGTAACACGAAGGTCACGGGTTCAGAAACCTGTACTGGCCAGTCGCCAAAACAAAATTATGTACTAATGGGTACAAAC